AAAATAAACCATGCTACGAAATTTACCCATAAGATCTTAACCACTACACGTAAAAGTATACTGCATCATTGGATAGATCTCTCCCCTCACTAGCATGAGTTCACACACAAATCTATTTCCTCTTTCATATGGACTAGTTAGAAACTTCATCAATTATAAGCACTTTAACAAACAAATTCTTTCTAACTTGGCAAATGTATATCAACACATTAGAGAGAACTACACAATCCAAAATTAAATCCACTTTTGAATTTACAGACTGGTACTTGACCCCACTATAGCCCAATTATAGCCCAATAATGCAAAATCCCCAAAACAAGAAACATCAAGCTAGTTGTCACCGATATTGAGCTAACTTTGAGATTACATACCCAGAATATTTAAAGGAGAGAATATTTATTTACTTTTATTTAGTTTAGTTTACTGTTTTATTTGTGGTATTATTTAATTTTTGTCCTTCACTTCTTTATAAAAAAATAAAACAAATTGTAAAGCAATCTACAAAGTATTACTAAGTACTTTATTAAATAACTTTTGTCTGTATTATACTGAACTAAGTAGATTGATTAATGATAAAAGCTTGAAACTAAACTAAACATATTTATCACTTAAACAGGATTTTGTACAGTGGGAAACTCTCAATGTAATGTGGCTGTGGCGGGCCGCTTCCATAAAGATGAATCGCCTTTCTCATTTTATTTATTTATTTTAAACCCTACATATTCCCATTTCTGTATCCGATTTTAAGACTTCATAATCTTCAATGAGTCTGCCTTTTTACTTTAAATGCATACATTAAATAATGGGGTATCTTAATTTCCCTCGGTTTATTAAATATTATTATGCAGTAAGGCTCACAGAGATCCAACACTGGCATGTCTTACTCACCTTTAAATGTGGAGTGGGGCAGGTTCACCAGTTATGGTACATCATTCTGCTGTCTCTATTACACCTCCAGCATATGTTGGAGGAGGATGTGTATAATCGTGCAAGCTTGTCTGGTACTAGATACCAGCAGTACTGTATCTTTCTCGTCAATTCAAAGTGAGACACCCAAGCTATGTTACGCTTGTGTGCCACAAAGGCCAAGTTCCTAGTGATTCATTCTCTGTGCCAAGACTCAATGAAGTTGTCCTTACTGTTTTTCCATTTACAGTAAGGAGGTTATAGATAGTGAACATGATTTTGGTGGGTCGTGTGGTTGCTAAACATACTGTTTTGAATTTGGTCATACTGAGTGTCTTGATAGTACAGGTAGTGGTTGTTAAAATACATTTTTATTGAAGATAGGAAAATATCGCTTTGTTCGACAAGTGAAATTAGGTCTGTAGGACTGGATATTGTTTCAAGACTGTGCCCTGGTATAGTTGCTTAATGTCTGTGCATCCCCTGGGTATCCATAGAGAGTGGTCATAGGTAGGGTTATGTAAGTGTATGCTATCGAGTGGTGTGGCAAGTGAGAGTGGGTTGCCTTAGCATAGACTAGTCCTAGTCTAATCCCAAACGTGGAGCAGCAGTTAGGTGGTATCGAGCATTGCAGGTCATTCAGTGCGCACTCCTCTTGGGGCCCAGAACAAGTATCGCATATCTTGTTTGCAAGACCAATAGGACTCTATGGCTACCTATTCAGGTGGGTTCTCAGCAACATGTGCAGTTGTGTATAGGAGTGATGCCCTATAATAGATTTTAATATCTGAAAGGCCAAAAAAATTTACAGAATAGAAACCAAAATGAATGTAGCTTGGCTGGGCACCTAATAGGGATTGAAGCTGTTACCCTCAATCTTGGACAGTTTCCTCTGTGTCAGCCCTCAACAATATAGAGTAAATAATATATGACCCAGTAATAATGCCATATAGGCATTTAACTGTGGAGACTCTCACTCATATCGTGTTTCATTTTTGTTTTTGTTATTATTATACAATATATGGAGCAAGTTGCACAGCCCACACTCAAGTGAAGGTATATCAAGAGGTATACTTTGTGTTGTAACAGATTGATATAGATTAGGTGGGCAATGTCTAAGTCACAATCACTGGTGTGACATTATCATGCTACCCTATTTTAAATACCCTCAATCACAAGACAGTGTGTGTTTTTCCCCCTCTTATCCTATGTGGGAGGTACTGAGAGTGGGAGATATAGAATTGTTACGCTACCCAATAGTTCAAAAATAAAAAAATATAAAAAAACATACAATAAAGCATGTTAGATTATTTGCAAGACAGTCTGTTTAGGCTGGGCATTCGAGGCATTGTAGATCCCTCACTTTCTTTCTTCCACTGACCCAGGAAGTACCTCTAGAGGCCATCCGAGTGACTGTCGCTAGAGGTGTTACCAGGCAGCAATGTAAACACTGCCTTTTGTCTGAAAAGTCAATGTTTACATTGAAAAGAGTTCAGGGACAGGATATAGACTTCAGAACAACTGCATTAAGCTGTAGTGGTTCTGGTGACTATAGTGTCACTTTAAGAATTGTATTTTTGGCGTTAATTTCTCTGGCTCCTAGATTCCAAGCAAATTTGTCAAGCCCTGGTCTAGCACACTAGTGTATAAAGCTCAGTCAAAGTGTGGAAAAAGTAGCTCCTGCTTGCACTTACATTTGTAATCAAAATTATTAAACCCCCATTTATTGTCATAATTTTAATTTTACAGACAGCTGTTTGCAATAAACAAATCAAACAAAAGCAATTGTAATAGCTCAACATAACAAATGTTTCAAGTGGTTTTCCCAAATTTAACTGAAAATGCAACTTATAATGACTTCTCCAGTCTCAAAATTATTCACCCCTGATGCAACTTGGAGGCACTTACAACACAAGGGTCTGGAAGCAGCTCGCCAAGATTGTCGCCATGGCGACCCGGCGCCTGGGATTTGTTGAGCCCTGTGCTAGACTCATTGCCATTCATTTTTTTTCTGTGTAAGACCTAGTGAACCAGCCATTCTTCTGACAGCCTCTGATAAGGGACTACTGAAACTTTTTTTTCTGTCATTCTGTGCTGTGTGCTCTTGTGCTGGAGCAATTGTTTAGCGCAAGTGAAATTATTTTTATAAAGGAGGAATTTTCTCATCTCCATCAATGCAGTGCCTACTAGCAGAAGCGCTGCTTCAACTGAAAAATAAGAAAGTTACATGTAAAAACAAATAAAAACAATAAAATATTTTTTTAGAACCTTTTTGGATTTTTTTTTCCTTTTTTCTATTTTTGTTTCTCTTTTCTACTTGCAATCACCAGCAGGAAGGCTGAACTAGGTTGCCCACTTTACTATTATCCAACTAAAAGTAAAACCGAAAAACCGAAAATTTAAATTTCAGAGGTCTCTTTTTCTTTTCTCTTTACTCTCTCCTCTTCCTTCTTTCGTTTATGTTAAGCAAACCAAGGTACACAGAAAATAACAGAACTTAGCTTTCCAAAGTTCAATATCAGCCATTCTAAACTCCAGTCTTCTTACTGTCCATGCTTTCACATCGAGTGCATCAGCTCCCCTCCTCTTCTGGCATGTTATATTATCACGCCCCGTCCGTCCCAATTATGTGGTTGAGCCAGAGAACAGAGTGTCGCGGATAAAACCCACAACCACTTACCATGAAAACTTGAATTGCCCACTAGTGGGAGCGGTAGGGACGAGGTTGACTACCACTGATCTAAACTTTGTGCACAACTAGATTAACAGAGAATATTAAGAGAAGGGCAGCTAATTGAATCAAAATACAAAGCTGCAGAGAGTCTGTGATCACAGCCTCTAATTAGAATATGAAATTTTTAGAACAGTGGTAACATCACTGCCATAGAACTGGGAAACATGGGTTTGTATCTCAGTAAGAAAAACTCACTGGTAATTTTCCTTGTGTAAGGATGTAAGCTTGTTTCACTTGATGATTGTAAAGCTCAGCAGTATATGTTTGTGTTATATAATCAGAGGGGGTTTTGTTCTGCTTTGGTCCTCCAGGCCACTTGTTCCTTCGATCCTATTCCCTCCCATCTCACTTTCACTCGGTTTCCTTCTCTTGCTCTGCCCTTCACCAAAATATTCAACCTTACCCTCTCCACAGGCATATCTCTTTCACCCTTTAAGCGCAACCATCACCCCAATTCTAAAAAAGACCGTAAACCTGTAAACCCCATCCAACTACCGCTCTCTCTCACTACTACCGGTTGCCTCCAATACCCTCAAGAGAATTGTGTACTCTAGATTGACAGACTTCCTTGAATTCAACTTTCTGCTCAAACCCACTTCAGTCAGGATTCCGTGTTCATTACTCTGTCAAAACAGCCCTGAACAAAGTATCTAACTATTTAATTGCTGCTAAATCCAGAGGTCACTACACTCTCCTAATTCTCCTTCACCTTTTCGCTGCTTTCAACAACTTCTTCTCATCTTCAATAATCTCAGTCTACGAGACTATGCACTTTCCTGGTTCTATCTCCCCAAGCGCTTTTTCAGTGTTTATTTTTCTGGCTCTGCCTCTTTTCTGCAACACCTCTGTTGGGGTTCCCCAAGGTTCTGTCCTTGGTGCCCAATTTTTCTCAATCTATACTTCTTCCCTTGGTAAACTCAACAGCCATTTTGGCTTGCAATATCTTTTCTATGCAGATGACACAAATCTATCTGTCCTCTCCTGATCTCTTGCTATCCCTCTTGACTTGTGTCTCTGACTGCCTCTCTGCTATTTCCAACTGGATTGCTGCTCATTTTCTTAAACTTAACATGTCAAAAACAGAACTTATCTTTTCTCAAGTGTTGCTACTCCTGTGTCTCCCTCCCTCCAACTCAATGGCACTATCATCATCTCTACCTTGCATGCTCACTGCCTAGGTGTTCTCTTTGACTAAGACTTCTCCTTCACCGGTCACATCCAGTCACTCGCCAAATCCTACCTCCTCTATCTCAAAAACATAGCTCGCATAGCAGGATGCGGCTAAGATTCTGGTCCATGCTGCTATCATCTCTGTCCTTTAACACTGCAATCTGTTTCTCAGTTGTACTGAATTTGTTGGCACTTTATAAATATTATTATAAATGCTAATAATATTTTTATTAGATCACACTATTATACTCGGTAGGAAATCTGAAAAGTTTTTTTTGTTTTTTTAAACTCTCTCATGTTGAAATGTGTGCAGCATGAAGAAGGTCTGCAAGAAAAGTTTTTTATTCAGTTTTTAGAAAGACAAAAAAGTACACTCCAGGCACCATAAGCACTACAAACAATGTATTTATTTTATTATTCATTTAAGTTACATTTTAGTCCAAAGGTTATTCAACATGAATAAGGGCAGGGATAGGCAACATTCGGCACCCAAGATGTTGTGGACTAGGTCTTCCATAATACTCTCAAATTAACAGGGGAGATGTAATCCACATCTGGAGAGCTGAAGGCTGCGGTAAGGTGCTCATTGTGTGTGCACAGATTTGCAGAATAACAAATGGTATTAAAGTATTTTTCTGAACTTTGTATGTCTTTATTTTAGAATATCCTTGCTGTGAAAAAGTGCATGTTTCAAATAGCATTACTGACTAGCGATTTAAATCATGAATTAAAGGGACACTATAGGCACCCAGACCACTTCAGCTGATTGAAGTGATCTGGGTGTAGTGTCCCTTTTGCACTTGGTGCTGCAATGAAAACGGCTATAGAATCTCTTTGAATCAAAATCAACCCGACACAAGCCATTAGCAAAACTGGTAAAAGAGACAAGGATACAGTATGCAAATATGATTACTCCAGAAGCTCCAAATTATATCACATTAAAAACTGGCCAAATTTAAAGTAAAAGTAGCTGATTTAGTCTTAATTTTGCAGTTCAGATTACAAATTACATTTTAGAGTTCAGTAAATAAAGGCTAAATATATTTAAACCAATGTTCAGGCTAAGGTGTTGTTTAATAGCCAGACGAGAAGATAGGGATCCAAGTAACATTAGGTCAATGGATTGTTTCAGACTGACTGTACAGTACATAAAAGGACAATACAGTATCCACAACAAATCTAGTATACTGAACACAGTGTAGAAAGTTACAAGGCTTAACTCCTGAATACGACAACTTCACGGTCTAAGCATAAGCCATGGATAGAGATGTGGGATGGGATGTACAAATCGTAACATCCGAAAATATTGGAACTAATCAATTATAAACACACGGTTAAAGGGACTCTCCAGACAGAGTAGTTTACTCACCTGGTTCCAGCGCCGGGAGCCTCGTGAAGCCGCGCCCCCAATCCCGTCAAAATTACAAAATGGGCGCGAGCAGGGAGCAATCGGACGCTTCCATTTGGCAGCGTCATTGCTCCCTTGTGCGCATGTGCATCTTCGTTGCACATGCGCACATACTTCATAGGGCGGCATTCATGCCGCCCTCTCAAGTCCTGAGCGCACTACTACACATGCACGCGGCCACGAGCTGACTGACAGCTCATCTCGCTGTCTTTGCCCGCCCCCTCTCCTCTGCTGACAGGCAGGAGACAGAAGGCGCGCACACAGTATCTTAATACGTCTGACGTGTACAAGGCCTTTTTAGGGCCCTACATGATAGGAAGTCCCTTTGGTGGCCGTCTGAGTGACGGCTACTGGAGTTATTCCTATCAATCAATGTAAACACTGTATTTTCTTTGAAAATACAGTGTTTACATTAGATTGCCTGCAGGGAGCTATAGATCTCACCTGAACAAATACATTAAGCTGTAGTTGTTCAGGTGACTATAGTGTCCCTTTAACTTTTTCTTTAAAGGGACACTATAGGCACACAGACCACTTTAGCTCATTTTTAGAAACTGCAATGTGTACAATGTAGTACTAAGACAGCCTCTAGTGGCTGTCTACCAGGCAGCCACTATAGGTGCTTCGGAGAGTTTACCAGACTCTAGGTCCCTTATGCATGAGGACATCCAGTGTCAAGTGAAATCACCAAAGGAAAGCATTACGTTAATGCTTTTCTATGGGGAAGGCATACTGCGCCCAGTCAGATGAAGTTGGAGGATGCAAAGTGCTGAGGGACGTCAGCGCTGGAATTGGGTAAGTAAATAAAGCCTTTTTAAAAAACTTTTTATATGCTAGAGGGGGGCGTGAGTGACACGGGGACCAGAGGGCACTATAGTGTTAGGAATACAGATGTTTAGTCATAACACTATATAAATCCTTTATTATTTTTATAGAAAATGTGAGCTCTATTAAATTCCTGCCTGTCTGCTGCTACAGCCATGTAGAAATCCTTACCTTTACTGGCCACTGCATGACTTGAGGATCTATGTCACACTCACCAGGGCTAAATAGTCACTCACCAATGGCAAGTAGAAACATTATATATAAAAACGCACACTCTATCCTTTGCTCCTGGGGTTGTGCATTGCATAATACAATACATTTTATAAAAGCATTTAGTCATAGACATTTTATTTTCGAATTTGTGATAACTGAAATAAACCAGTAGAAATCTAATCGTTTTTAGATTAAGCATTTCCTTTATTATTTTTCAAAATAGGATGGGGCACTACTCCTTAGAATGGCAGTTCAAACTGTCTCCTAATTCATCATTCATTATATGGAGAAAACATGTACCAGCCAATTCCTCTAACAAATCAGAAAAGCTGATAATTGCACCGATGTTAACTGGCTTTCATAATTCAATTTTGATATAATTAAATATCTTAAGTCACTACAAACATCTGATTGTATGACATCATGAAGAGAACAAATTGTTATATATTGTGCATGACCTGGACATGATTCCAAAGAGGGGAAAAATCTAATCTAATTAAGATCTCACTTGAGGACACAAAACTGTTTAAGTTTTGTAATTAAAGCCATTATCTAGATCAGTGTTTGCAAGCATTTTTGGGATGAATCACATTTTAACGGCACAAGTATAATCAAGGCACACCTATAAAAATGCCCTTTTAAAAATAAAATAAGTATGGATGAGTGAGCAGTCAAAGGTATAATGCTTAACATTTGCAGAGGGTACTTACACAAACACAGACACCTACAAATGCTCTCAAACTCTCAGAGGCTCAGACTTGCAGAGACTCACCAGATGCTCTTACAAACACTAACATATACAAACATTCCTGCTTTCTCACGGATTCAATTCCAGACAGCTTCAAACACTCTTAAAACTTTCATAGATACACTCACAATTTCACAGACACCATACAGTAAATCCATTTGTGGGTGCCATATCACGGTAAAAGTGTTTGAAAAAAAAAAAAGACATGAAATTCACCTGCCAGACAAGTCCACTAATGAAAGAAAAGAGGATGGCTTACGTAATGCTGCCGGTGCAGTAATATGCATTTTGTCCCTGCTCTTTCCTTCACTAACAGCAGGGAGGAAGCAGACTGAAAACCCTGAGTCCTCTTCATACCAGCTATCAGGACAAGCAAGTGCTGCACGCTGTTGATCCAAGACACTATTGCTGGGGTCGGCAGCATAACGGACAACTATTACTTCCCATGATGTCTAATAGTATCTCTACTTATTTCCTGTGTTTAGCATATATAATTTTTTGGTTCTGAAAAATAAAACTAAATATATAGAAATCAACACTTTTATCCTGGAACTAGGCGTCTACATTTTGGATCCCTGTCAATCTTCAGCATACATGTTGCCTTTTTAAGCTCTGACAGTGCCTGGACTGGATGATAATGTAACTTGCTAAACCTTTGACAATCATTTAAAACTTTTGTCAAATTATACTTTGTTTTCTTTTAAACGGTAAATAAATGTGTTATTCAATGATGAACATTCAAGGGAAATGACAGTTCTGCTTTAACCATCTCAGCATTGGACTGGTCAGCTCTGCTATCACTCATGCAGGGAGAGTCTGAAGCTGCTGCATGTCGCCAACCTCAATGGCAACCAGTCAACAAAGATTTTATGGATCTCCCACATGGACACAAAGAACCCTCACAGATAGACTTTACATAAGGGAACTGATGCCGAGTTAGTCAGAAAGTGTATGCTTTACGGATTGACCATCTTTAAGATCCCTCTCATAACCTTGTAGCTCATCAGCTGTTGGTTTTCCTTTGGAGGGTAACATGGGCCACGGTCAGTTACGTAGGAATAAGGGAATCTCAGAACCCACAGTCCGTCAGAAGGTAGAGTGATTTCCTGCTTTTCAGGATAGAACACAGAGCAAGGAGGTGGACCAGGTTGCACCTAGAAATATCAAGAAAGAGAGGTAACCACTCCTGAAAACAAATACAAATACACATATTCATGTAAGATATCCAATTATTTTTCATCCAGAGGCTACATAAACATAATCAGAAACTGACTATGAATTTGTGATGATTTTCACTTTTTCTTTCTATCCCTTCCCACCCTCCACATGCACCAGCAGTGACTGGGGTCGTCTATCAGGGGAGGCAATGTAGGACCCCAGCATGACTTAGGTGAGTTCCCAAACTACTAAAATGGTTTGACATTTTAACATGGGATAGCACCAGAGCACTCCTGACACCATAACCAAAAACAGTCGGACACATTGGTTATGGTAGATATTCTCTTTAATTTAATTGCGGTTTGGATCTTTAAATACAATAAGATGTTGACAGTTTAATGGTTTAACGGTTGACTAAGCAACATGACCACTTCAGTGATAAAAGTGAACCTGATGCCTGGAGTCTGAATGTGTAACGATTAACCTCTTCCTTGCCAGAGGTGTAACTCCACCACTGGTAACGTCATTAGCCAGCCAAAAACAATGTCCTGGCCAATGGTAATTCTTTACAAAATTAGCATCTGATGTTAGCACACACAGCATGCTGGCGCCAGGTAGGCAATGGCTGTACTCTCCTTGGCATCTCTACACCTTTGGTGAGGTGGAGTGACATCAGGCCACAAGAATTGGGCTGAGGGGGAAAATGGCCTTGGTGAAGGGAAAAACGTAAGAGGTTACCAGACCAGTGATAGGCAACCTTCAGCACTCCAGATGTTGTTGACTACATCTTGCCTGATGCCTTGCCACCTTATGGCTGTAAGAGCACTATGGTCCACAACATCTGGAGCGCTGAAGGTACCATAATAATTCTCCACCGGCTTGAAATCACCATTCACTGCAACCTAGCTCACAAACTCTTCAGTTACATACATCTGAAATAAATGTTTGTATTGCTGCACATATCACCAGTTATCTATAACAGTCTAAATACACATTAGCCAATTAAACTGTAGGGTGATTGGGCCTTCATGCACTGCACTTTTTATAAGAGCGCTAAAAATATTAAATCAAAATTATGTATCTTTCTGTAAATCCTACGATTATGTAGTGCTCTGGACAAGAATGCTACACAAGATCTGTTCAATAGTTAACATAACATTCTAGAGAAAGTCACTGAGTTACTCTGGCTTTAAGTATAGTTATAACAGCGGCACAATTGAATAACCCAATAGATTTGGTGCCTGTGCTGAAAGTCCAGATTCTTGTTGTGCAGAATCCAAAACAATAAATGAAATGGGGAGTATTTTTTTTAATAATTTGCCATTACACCATCGAATGCTGTGTGTTAGAGTATTGTTTTTCTTTACTCTGGCTTTAAAAGGACACAATAGTCACCAGAACAACTACAGTAACTTAATGTAGTTGTTCTGGTGAGTATAGAGCAGTGTTTACATTAGAGCCTATGAACACTTCTAGTGCCCACACCTCATATGGCCCCTAGAGGCACTTCCTGGGCCAGTGCTGCATGGAGATGCTGAATGTTTCCCTTAGGTAAGCATTGATTCAGTGCAACTCTATGAGGAGATGCTGTTTGGTCAGGGTGGCATTTGGCTCAGCCCATCTCAGCCAATTCAATGCTTTCCCTGAGAGCATTGTGATTGGCTGAGGTTATCAATTTTGATGATGTCAGCCAAGGAGGAGGAGAGAGGGCTGGGGCCAGACACGAGAAGCCCTGCACTAGAAAAAGGTGAGTAAATCACTTTTCTAACCTGAAGTAAGGGGGGCCAACCATCTTAATGGTGGTTTAAGAACTATAGTGTACGGAATACGTTTGTTTCGCTGACACTATAGTGCCCTTTTAAGCTGCAGTAGATCATACTAGCAAATAATTCCTTAGGAAACAAGCCATTTCAAGCAATGACTGCTATTCTCGGTTTGCTATCAAGTGGTACTAGAACAAACTAAAGAAAATAAATGAGTAAAATAGTTGCCTCCACCCTACCCCTTTCTAAATCTTTAGGTTTGATGTAAATCTACCAGCTCCTCTGGGGACTTGGAAGTTGCTAAAGATTCATGAACATCTTTTTAAGGGAAAGAAAGACCATATTTTGAGAATATTTGATTTTTATCCTAACCAGAGTAGATTCAGCTGGGGGCATATTCCAGATCCATCTACATAACCAATCAGAGGCAATTGTCTGGTGTTAAAATCCGCTCAGTGGTACCGCAGTGAGATAGCTTAATTTTCCTATGAAATTATTATAGCGAACATTGATTGGTCTCCTATCAATCCAAACAATATATATATATTTTTTAAATAGTTACTTGACAGTATGGAGTCACTTTGTCAATGATGGGCCGAATGGTCCTTATCTGCCGTCACATTCTATAATGGTTTATGCATTTTTCGGTCAACTTACCTGAGGATTCATTACAATATTCAAAGGAGCCTCTGGAACCACAATATAGAGTCTCATCAGCTGCGCATAATGAGGTTTAAGTCCTCTACCCTGAGAAGGGGATAGCATATACAAGGGCATGTCACTGTTCAATGCTTTGACTGCAGATTCCTTTGGCCCATTACCAATAACCTTCATAATTTTATCTGGTCCAGAGCACATGAATCTGCGTCCTCTGGAATCCTCATATTCAAAACCAACAAAGGCCCTTGCAATGTCATCTCTTCTCCGACCTCTGCCTATAACCACTGCACTCCTCTTTCCAGGAATAGATTTATTAGGTGCTGGCCAAGAGTTGTTGTCTAAGTCCCCGTCATCTTCTGATTTTGTGCGGATAACAATGTCCCATGGCATCAAATAATTAGTGCCTGGGATGAAGCCAAGCTGATCTAAACCTGTGTGAAAGTTGTAAGATTTAGCAGGCCCAAGTTTTACTAAGGCCCAACTTGAGAATTTGGGTAAGAGACCTTTTGGACAATTGGAATGCATCATTCCAGGGAGGTATTCCACAGTCGATGCCTGACGATCGGTTAAACTTGGTCTTTTTTCCCCTTTCACCTGTCCTGCTGGCACAGGATCTGCATTGTCACCTCCAGCATGAGCATCAGCTGGATAATTTCCAAGACTGTCAGTTGACTGGCCCAAGCTAAGAGCCAAACTTAGGCTAGTACTTTCTCCCTGTGTTTGCGGTTCCTTGACAGTCAGCTTTTCCACTTCCACCTCTCCTTCCTGTGGAACTGTAGAGGCTTCATCCTTTGCAGGTGCAGGATCTGGTGTGCTTGGTTGAAATATTGGAAAATCGATATGATCAAGCTTTGCACAGCATTTCTCTTCCAGTATCTACAAATAAATAAGAAATTAAAATTATAAGATGGTGAGATGGAATCTGCAAAATAAGGAACATTCTGTAACTGGATAAGCAAAAGTATAAGAAATGTCAAGGGGGACGGGGCTTGACTGTCATGTTGATAATTCACATCTAGTTGGAGCTCCTGGAGAAAAAGCGATTATCTGCCTATTTAACCACTTAATTTGCTTGAGAAAGCGGGCATTTAGGCTGCAGGGGCTACCTGTTGTCTCTGCACGATTATTATAAGAGACATTTCTGACTCTTTTGGAGCAAATTATGCTTTGTGGCTATTTAGGCCTACCAGATCCAAGGGGGGAGAAATGGCCGATCTCTCCACACTTCTTCGCCCTAAAGCCAGTTGACAGAGCATGGACCCCTCCTTACCGGTGTGTTATCCCACTAGGATATCATTGATTCTTACCAAGCAACACTAGCGATCCTGTGGCCTGCTTATCATCTGACTAACGCAGGTGCTCAAGAACATCTAAGGCGGCGGATGCCACATGCTCCTTGAGTTCTAAAGGACAGTCACATAACATCATGGCTCGCTTAGATGAACTCTTCAATACCTTTAGGCTGAATCTAAGCAAATGTATGCCAGGGTCTGAGACACCAAAGAGGAATCACTGTCCACCTCAGCAGCAATTGCAGAGTGTCCCTCGAATGGCAGCTGGTCTGGTACATATAGGTGCTAGAGCCTCTGTACCCACTTAATCTGAATAGAAAGCCAGGTTGCCATCTTTATACCAGACATTCCTGAGACTCACTGATCACTATCACAAGGTTGCAACGAATGTTTTCAGAGCGATACAGCAGGACCAACCTTGTCATCAGATACCTAGGCGAAGACACGACCAGGGCCGAACCCCCATGCACAGCTCACATCGTCGGAAATCCCTGACCAGCTTTGCTAGGCGCGTTTTGTGGGAATATTCCTTATGGTGGCTGTGGTTTTCGATTAGTGGGCATAGGCAGAGTGCTTTTCATTTTTCTCTTACCTTGATGGGCCACAAAAGCTTACTTATAGCTTGCACTAGTCTCTCAGTGTATGAAAAGTAATGTATGATGTGTAGTTTTGTATTCCTAAGCCAGTGGAATTTTTATTCTTTTTGGTCTGTTGATATTTTAAAAGCGTATGATCCTTTACTTTTGACTGGGGTATAATCTACTTGTAAACTAGGCTTATTGCCTCATCACTGTTCTATTGTGCCTACTTTTATTTTCTAACATGGGGTGTTTATTTCCAGTTTAGACAGATATAGAATATTACTAGTGCATTTTCTTAATATTTTATTTTCCTTCAGGTAGCTGGCATAACTTGATAGACTACCCAGTGTGTTAATATCGCTGTAACTGCCTCTTTCATCGTTCTACATTAACAGACATACTTCTCATAATCTGTGCCTCAATCTAGCAAAATCACTAGGGCTGTTGTTCAGTTTACCACTTTCCTTATCAACTATAATCTGCCTGCTGCATATCACAGTGTCAGATATAAGGTAAACAGACAGCACATTAACACTGCCTAAGCGATAATTAAAGGGACACTATAGTCACCATAACAACTTTAGCTTAATGAAGCAGTTTTAGTGTAAAGTTCGTTTATGCAGGCCTAGCCACACCTGCCCTGGCTGTGATAGACACACATGAAACAAAAAAAAAATGGTTTCATTTTGAAATCAGATGTAACTTACTTAAAAAATGTTTTTATCTTCTGCTCTGTAAATTGAACATTAACAACATACAAGAGGCTCCTACATGGTCTACTAAGCTATTAACATAGCAGGAGATAATTAATCCTAAATTAAACAGGATTTGCAATAAAGGAAGTGTAAACCTTAGATGCCTCTCTACAGGAAGTGTTTAGGAAGGCTGTGTAAAACACATTCAGGGAGGTGTGACTAAGGTTGCAAAAACAAAGTGATTTTTAATTTAACTCCTAAATGGCAAAGACTTGAGCTGTGAGACTGCATTGGTATGATCTATACACCAAAACTGCTTCATTAAGCTTAAGTTGTCTTGGTGACTATAGTGTCCCTTTAACAAGTTCATGCACATTGCGCAATAGGGAGATTTACACAACATGTCAGACTGTGCCTTGACAGTGAGTTCTGTTCACCAAGTGCTGAAAAGCAGCTAAATGGTGGTGTTCAGTTGTCCTAGTTCTGATGTTTCAATTGTCCGTTTTCGCTGCAAAAGACATTCAGGAATGTTTCCCTGAAATTTTTATTCAATGATTATTGTTTGGATCCTGTCTTGCCTTAGAGACATCTTACTTGCCCTTTAAATATAGAATAAGGTATCCATAATACTTGCGAATTTATGTATCAGAATCATTGCTACGCCTTATTACTGCTTATAACGCATACAAACCTCCTTGCATAAGCTAAGTTCATAATAGCAGTAACCGTTTATTTTCTTTTGGCTTGTGTGTATGCGATATCTATTTATCCTGTAACTCCATTAAACAGCAGGACAGCCACTAGAGGCAGTCTTAAACCTGCAATATAAACTGTAATATATAAAATAGGGTTACGTAAACAGGGACAGTGCACCCAAACCACTTCAATGAGATGAAGTGGTCTGGGTGCCTATAGTGTCCCTTTTTATAAACTAACCTTGTTAACCACAAGGCTGTCAACCAGACAAGTGGCCCTATCACCCATTCTACAGTGCTATGGAATTTGCTGGCACTTTATAAATAATAAAATAGTAATATTACATTCTGGTTGTTTAGCCCAGTGAAGCTCAATTCAAGAGGTAGGCAAGTGCCCACAGCACCTGTCTTGCAAACACTTCTCATTGAGCTGCATTGGAAAGTCACTGAAAGGCAAATAAAGTATGGAATAGGTAAGAAGGGGGGGGCTTGCAAAAGCTACAGACAAGAGATATTCTGCTTATGAAATAGCTTTTCAAATACAGCCCCAATGAAAAAAGCTGAAGAAAATGCATGTTTTTATTAGGGGAATATCTACATAATGGTGATTTTTATTTATTTTGTATTTGAGCAGATAAGTGTCCCCTTAACATTGTCTTCCCATCTGCATCTCAGTGTTTTATACCCAATATAACGGGACCACGGATGCCCACACACAAGACGACGCAGCCCGGCTTATTTAAATCGCCGGTCCCGGAAAGACGACAAGCTCCTGATGAAGTCTAAGAACCTAGACGAAACGCGTTGAGCATACTTTTTACCCTGAAAGGATTACTGCGGCTGGAAGTCAGACACCTCGTTATTGCTGCCTTTTGATCGATGGTCAGTGAAGAGGGACTGTTCCCGATACTCCATACCATTCAAGACTGCTGTATCCAGGGGATTAGCCTAATTGAGGCACATACGCTTTTGCACATATTAATGTTTTCAATTGTGCCACTACTTTTGTGAGTGTTCCATTTTTATTTTGTTTTTTTTCCATTTTTTATTAAAGCATTTGCACTATGTGATTTCTCTTCTATTTTTCATGTGAGTTCTACATGCTCAGCTACAAGTTGGTAAATATATACACCACTCTGTTTGTGAAGTGGCGCCCTACACTGTATTTTCACTCTGCTGTTATACAGTTTTTTCACTGTATTTTTCTTTCACTTAAAAACAGGCTTCTGATCTGGGTGTGATATAATGATAATCATCGTGTTGCTATGTACACCGGTTTCTTTGTGTAAACAGTTATGCTTCGGAATCATATTATGATTCGTGCCTAATCTTTGCATGTCCATGTATATTATTGTCACCACTGTACAAAGATGTATGTAATCAAGAAAATTGTGATTGACAAAAGCAGTAAGTTTCAAAAGCATGATACCTGATAAAAATCATAATTGGCACTTTTAACGTCAAATGGATCTTCACGAGGTGCTTGCTTCCTTCCACAGTTGCAGCTGCCAGTTGAACGTGCCCGACTATTGTGAAAAAGTATTGGAGGATTTCTCTCAGGTTCAATTTTTTCTCCTAAAATAAAAATAAAAGTGTTTGTTTCCATACAAAAACACAACCTGTATAAAACCATTGTATATAAATATTAAACCAATGGTGTGCACAAATGTGACACATATTGCTTAAAGAGCGTCTCTCTTTTAAACCAGTTCTCAATATTCTGTAATACATAGTTAAAAATCAAAATTCAAATATACAGTACAGACCATGTACTTTCATTCAAGGTCCTTGGAAAGTAACTCGCAATAAATGAGTGAATAAGTGTCACTATCTACCTGGAGAGATCAGGTCCTCGTGATGACAAATCCTAAATCTCCAATCCTATACTGGAGGTTTGTAAAATATTGTAATTTTCCCTTTGGTTTGTGAAGTATGTTTTTGGATTATTTATCAACGTTAATAAATGTAAATTAACTTTTTAGAGGTTAAAATTATATGCTACATTTACTGGTATTTTCCCACGTGTGTTGTTACATTTGTTTTTTTTAATTGCAATGTAATAGAGGAATTTGTCAATAGTGTAGAAGTAGTAGATTTGATATCAATGGTCTTTTGCATTTGATAAAGCCCCTAGAGACGTGGCAAAACGTGTAATGTGCTATATGTCAGTTGAACAGGAATGAGGAAGCAATGAAAGAGAGAATGCCTATGACACATTAATTAAGCTCTGCACTTGCTGAGAATCTTTGCATGACAGTACATTAAGAGACTTAGTGTTGGTCCTGAAGTGCTTGCTCTATTGCTCTCCTCCTGTTCTTTGTGGCTTGTAGCATTTACTACTAAATAGTGATAAAACTGAGCTGGCTGTTTATTGGTCTTTCCAAATATTTTAAGAGCATTGTTGAGATTTAGAATTCAATACTCACAGGGACTTGAACTCTCCAGAATGTGAGCGGCACTTATCCATTCATTATTTAGGAGTTGCTTTTCAAAAAACTTGAACAATTTTATTATTGTTGTAAAACAATTTTTAATTTGTCTTTTAAAAGTTGTATCACAGAGAACTGGTTTAGAAGAAAAAAGCTTTTTAATCAATAAGTATAAAAAAACAAAACAAAAAACGTTTTAGCGCAACTCTGGCTTATTGTTTATTGATTTTGACTGAGTATTATTGATGCTATACTCTTATATGGTTGTTGCACTTTTTTAGTAATTAGAACGTCATTAGGTTTCCAGAAGGTGACATTTGGATGGGACAATTATTGACACTTTATATTGTTGTAATTTGTTTTAACACTTGTGTGTAATAGCACATATTGTGACTTTTGTTAGTGCCTGTAGTCACTTGGAATTTTGTTTTATACATTGTCTAAATTCTGGCATGTGCTTAACGGTGGCAAGTGTGTGGTGAATGTAAACATTGGGTGTGCATGATTGTAAAGATGCATCATACCTGATTTTGGCAGCAAGTGGAATTTGTGCACACAATGCTGATCTGTCAAACTTCTTTCTTCACATAGCTGGTGCCCACTGCTCCAAAATTTATAACAATCTTCATTAAGGATAATAGCATATTTCTGGAATGCAGGCCCACGTGCATGTTGGCCATACACTCTTAGGGCTTGTGCCAGTTGGTTTTTGTGTACTGTTGTGGTATAATTATGGGGTAGATTTGACTGATAGGCACTATGTGCCATAGGTAGAGCTTTTTGGCACCGATTTTCTGAAAACTTAGTATCAGCATCTAAATAACCTTCCAATACTTTCATGTTAGCTAAGAGTTTAGGAGGAAAAGCACCTGGAAACGCAGGAGGATCATCATCTTTATTTTCAATTATTATTTCATATAATTTCAAAGCCACAGCAACCCATTTCTGATAAGTGGGAAGTTCAAAATGAGATGGCTGTGGGTTTCTACCAACACTGTCATCAAAACCCTTCTTGGTCAAAACCAGCTCTACATGTTGGAAGAGGAATTCCCTCAAGGTACAGTCCACCAACTGGCCAGACACATTTGTATTACTTTCAACAGTAAAAGACAACTGACGAGTGTGCCTCATCATTTGAAAGCGCCTGGGACCAGACACGGGCACCACTGTTTCACTCTCTTTTAAAGTGCAGTTATGTCTCAGGCCTTCTAGCAACATTCCAATGGGGTCTTCATCCTGTTCGGCCACAATGTAAACAAAAGCCTGGTTGGCAGGAACCGTAAACAAACAGTTGATGCTCTGGTTGGTTAGTACTCGACTCTTCCTAAAGATGCGATAAATCTGGTCTTCCAAAGCATGCTGCAGCCTTCTCTTGGGCGAATGCTTTTTTGGTTTCTCCGGGACCGCTTGTCCCGGCCCCCGGGCCTCTACCTTGAGTGCCCCATTGAGCTGAAAAACAAACAGGAGCCTCGGAGGGCATGGCCTGGCATTGAGTTTCCAGTCCAACCCCACTGCACAGTCCTTGAGTGGAGCTTTCAGGGAGGGTAACACTTTCTGCCTCAGGCTGTCCAATGCCCTGAACAGCTTCTCATAGGCAATATCAAAGCAGCAGGTGGGGTGTACCAGCAGCAGGATGTGGCACACAGAGAACAGGTAGAGCAGGTGCATGCAGTACAGCTTCTCCTCGTCCTTCCACCACTCGTGGGCCTCTGCGTGGGACACTCCCTGGCTCAGCTCCTCGCAGGCCCGGCACAGCTGGCCCGAGTCACTCACCCCGGTCAGCAGCAGGTACAGCACCCGGGAGTCCTGCTCGTAGTAAGCCTGGAACAGGCTGCGCTCCCGGCCCCGCTCGGCCGCGCGGTGGAAGAGGGGGAAGACGTGGCGGTCGCAGAGCGAGTTGACCAGGCGGCATTTCTCCCAGCTCCCCTGCAGCATGGCGGTCTTACCGAACACCCCCACCACGCACAGCTCCTCGTCCTTCCAGCCCGGCTCGCTCTCGGAGCCCAGCAGATCCCGCAGGACGCACGGGCCTTCCACCGCCATCTTCATGGCTGACAGGGGGAGCGCGTCCGCCGGTGCACCGCTCTCGGTGCAGCGAAGAAAACTGTCCGGGCGGAAACCAGGAAGCGTGTGCATTGGCTGCCAGAAGATGATGTGTGAGAGCGCCACCTGGCGGCTGCCTGTGGCTTTATAGGGTTACTACACTAGGAGTAAAGGGGATCCCAGGCAGCAGGGTTACATTGTGTGGTGTCTAGATATCTAATGCTGCCTGCTTCCTCAGTACAAAACATATAATTCATTGATTCATCATTTAAAAAATAAAAAATAAAAGGGCCAGTATGGAGGTCAGTATGAACATGTTTAAACAATTCCTTATGCCTCCACACACAGCCAGGGCGGCCATCAGAAATGTTGGTGCCGTTTTACACAGCTCAAGGTCTGAGCCCCCTGGACCGCCCACAGGACCCATCCTGAGTCCGCCAACAAGGATGCAGTGTGTGTCCAGTGGATGCAGTGTGTATATGTCAGGAATAGGGATACCCTAACACGCAAACCTAAAGGATACAGTAAAGGTACACGTACTGGTCCTCAGAGTGGCCAGGTTAGTGCCAGAGACGTATAAATTAAATGTCTGCAAGCAGACAGAGAATAAACCAGAGAGAGGCCAAGGTCAGGATAACTGAAATACACAGAATCAATAGCCAGGATAAGGATAACAGAGATCAAGAATAGTCTAACAAGCAGAGGTCAGAAAACAGGAAATACAACACACAGTATAAACTCTCTCTCAGGTAACAAGAACCACAACAGGGCAAAGAAACGATGACAATCAGGATGTATATATACCCTATACTAGTTTGTGATTAATTACAGAGGACCATGATGTCACAAGTGTGTATACATCATCATAAAGCGACACATAGGCTGACACTATAAAAGGAGACCAATGGGAAGGTTCCAGGTCATATATGATGTCATAATAAGGCATCAGGAAGCTAGGGATGAGTGGGTGTGCATCAAAATTCAGAAAATACATAGTTTATGTGTTCGCACAGCGCCACAAGGGACAGGTATTGTCCCTCTAGGATTGCTCCCAGGGTGGACAGAACCAGGATGTGAAGGAACCCTGTCATGGAACCTACGATGCAGGACTGGAGCATGGATATCAGAAGTCAGAACCCAAGAACGTTCTTCTGGACCATAAACCTACTAGTGTAATAAGTACTGGAGGGAACCCCTAGAAAACCAGGAATCTACAAGTTCCTGGATCTCGTATTCCTTCTCTCCACAAAGTAGAACAGGAGCAGGATGAGGGTTCATTGAAGTATACTGGTTGCACAGTAATGGCTTCAAAAGGGATGTATGAAACACATTAGGAATAACAGAGACTACGAGGTAAATCCAAAGCGTAAGATACAGGTTCTTAAATAGTTTGATAAAGCGAGGTGCCATCTTTATGGAAGGGACTCAGAGGTGGATGTTTTGTGTAGAGAACCAAGTTGCCCTACTGTGACGATCAGCATAACATTTCTAGAGCATGGCGTTTTTCTGCAGGGTGGCACGAGCCTGTCCCCAAAATTTCTGCAATGAGGACAAATGCGAGTCCACTCCTTGTATCCCTTTATCAACAAAAGAGGACGGGAGAAATGCGGGATGAAAGAAATAGTTAGCAAAGAAAGGACTGTGATCAGAAGCTTTGTGTTATGAGTTATTGCTGGCAAACTCAGCCAAGGGGCAGGTCTGCCCAGTTGTCCTGCAGAGCAGAAACAAAACAGAGCAAATATTGTTCCAACAATTAATTGGCACGTTCAGCAGCTCCATTTGTTTGTGGGTGAATAGCTGATGGAAAGGATAATGTGATTCCTAGCACAGAATCCCCCCCAAAATCTGGATACAAATTGTAAACCCCTGTCTGATGCAATAACCTGAGAAATGCCATGCAACCGGAATACTTCACAGGCAAATATCCTGTTCAGATCAGTGGATTATGGCAATTTGGGTAAGGGTACAAAACAAGCCATCTTACTGAAACAATCCACTATCATGACTATCGCAGTGTTACCCTTGGATGGTGGTAAGTCCACCATAAAGTCAATAGAAAGATGAGTCCATGGCTTCATGGTAATTGGTAATGGCTGTAATAAGCCACAAGGTACTTGATGAGAAGCCTTGGCTTGGGTCTTGTCAAGATCTTGGAACATGGCAGGTGCATTATATAACCCTAATGGCATGGCCAGGTACTCATAGTGACCACTGTCGGTATAAAATGCAGTTTTCCAATCACCAACCTCATGATCCTAACCAAATTATAGGCACCTCTTAAATCAAGTTTAGGAAACCATGTGGACCCCTGAAGACGATCGAAGAGTGCAGTGATGAGTGGAATAGGATATACATTTTTACTGTTATTTTGTTCTAACCTCAGTAGTCTATGCAGGGTCTTAGATCATCTTTCTTTTTGGATACAAAGAAAAATCCTGCACCTGTGGGTGAAGAAGACCGTCTAATGAATCCCTTTTGAAGCACCTCCGGGATGTATTCTTCTATGACTATATTCTCCTTCAGATAGAGACAGGGTAAACCCTACCCATAGGTGGCATAGAGTCACAGCAGAGCCGGTCACTCACCTGCTCCTGGGTGCCTGCTGAATCCTCGTGGTAGAACGGCGGCGGTTTCTGTTTTCCAAGTCCCCTCTACCAGGGCTGGGGCATCTCCCTCTCCCCCTCTCACCGCCGAGGTCAACGGTGAGCATTCCGTTGAGGCAAGATGGCTGCTGCCATGCGGACCCGGCGTTCTAGATGAGGGGGATGGGAGGAGTTGTGGTTCTGATGAGGTGACTCAGGCCAGGGACTGTGAGGAAAGACAAGATGGCGCTGAGTCTCTGACCTCCTTTTATAGATCCACCAGGGAAGTGGCTGGACATGTGATCCTGGCTCTTTATTTAAACCAAGCACGCCTTCCAGTCAGTGCTTGGTTATTTTCCTTGCCCCTGTATAACTGTATATTGCACTGATTCCCTGTTCATCTTCCTGGACTTCTGATTGACTTCTCTTGCCTGCTGCCTGACCTGACTCTGGATTGATTTACTACACCTCCTGTTCTTCTTCCCTTCTAGGATACTTCGCCTGGTTTCTTCCCAATAAAGGCCTCCGTGCCACCACAGACCTTTAAGGACCCTGTACCCACTTCCAGCTGCTAAGTTAACGCTAAATGCAAAGACTCAGGTGATTGCTCAGTTAGAGGTTTCAGAGGGTAAGTTCTAGGTGCTAACCTAACTTTAGGTTTAAACAAAGACTATAGTGTGATATAGGCGTTTTTTACAGTGAAGTGTGTGTGGTATTATATCAGTGTAGCAACTGAGAAATATTAAGTGTTCAAGGAGCACTAAACGATTAGGTTATATTCCCCCTAAAACATAAAGTGCAAGTAGAGCACTAAAAAACATAAATTGCTGTACTAGCACTTTATGTTTTTAGGGGGAATGTTTAGTGCTTGTTGAACATAACATTAGGTTTGCATCCCTCTTCTCTAGCAGCAAATCTGTCTCTTGCACCATTTTTTTGTATATGCCGGTGTGTGTTTGTGTGTCAAGGTGTGTGTATCTGTGTTTGTATGTGCCAGCGTGTGTATCTTTGTGTCAATGTGTATCTGTTTGTGTGTGTGACACACAGATACACACACACACACTGACACACAGATACACATACTGACACACAGATACACACACCTTGACACACAGTGTGTATCTGTGTGTCAATGTGTGTGTATCTGTGTTTGTATGTGTCTGTGTATCAAGGTGGCACATAGTGGCACACAAATACACACACTGACACAGATACACACACCTTGCCACACAGTGTGCATCTGTGTGTGTGTATGTGTATGTGTGTCAAGGTGTGTGTATCTATGTGTCAAAGTGTGTGTATCTGTGTTTGCATGTGCCAGTGTGTGCAAAGGTGTGTATATCTGTGTTTGTATGTGCCAGTGTGTGTATCCCTCTATCAGTGTGTATAGTGGCACACAGATACACACTGACACACACACCTTGACACACAGACACACACACTCAGATACACACAGTGACATATACACACACATGCACCCACAGATACACACACTGGCACATACACACACTCAGATACACACATTGACACATACACACACACTGACACACTCAGATACACACATAGGCACATACAAACACACTGATATACACTGGCACACACACACACACACACACAGATACACACAGTGACACATACACAAACCTTGACACACAGATACACACACTGACACACTCACTTTGACAGACACATACTCTTTGACAGACACACATACACGCTCACTGACAAACACACATACATTCTCACTGACAAACACATACACACTCACTGACAAACACACATATACACACAAACACGTACAAACTCCCTAACCGACACACATACAATTTATTATTTTTTAAAAATGTTACTCCACCCAGCCCTCCTACCTTTGGGATTGCTGGCATGGAGACTCTATATCTTTGTGGTTCAGTGGGGTTGCTGGCCTGAGCCTGCGGTCCCTGGGGTCCAGTGGGGCTGCTGGACAGCTGGCAAGGGAGCAGTGATCTCCCTGCTCAACTCCCTCGTGCGCCTCTTGGTGATGCCGGAGCGACGTCATGTTCTTGCTCCGGCATCACTGCTGTGCCCGTGAGGTAGCAGAGCAGGGAGATCACTGCCCACGGCTACCTCGCCGCCCGCAGTCTTTTTTTTTTTAAATACATTTTGGCAGAACCCCAATTGGGAAATGCTGCTCTAAACCCTCAGGAAGGTCTGTAGCAGCAACCTCATCCTGCAAAGTTTCAGATAAACCCTGCTCAAATGCACAGACCAAGGGGGTGTTATTCCAAGAAGTTTCAGAAGCAAAGATATGGAATTTGATGGCGTACTCTGCTGCTGATCTGAAGCCTTGATTGATCCTCAAAATAATTTTTACCAGCAATCTTGGCTGTACCAGGAGGACTGAAAACTCGCTTAAAGGTAGCTAAGAAGCTGTGACAATGAAACATAAGCATATAATACTTTTCCCATAAGTAACCTGGGCTGGCACTTGAGCAGACTGACTCTCAG